TGTTGATTTCTGCATCTGCTTTCATCAGTTAATGAAGGTTCTGTGATAATTAAGGTAGTCATCAGTCTGATTACCGGGAAGGGCACTTAAGATACCCTCTCCACTATTGCTTCAATTCTTAGCTGGGGTCATCCTTGTGGATTCCTGGGAATTTCCCTAGTGCATGGTTTCTTGCTAACCCCATAATAACTCCCTCTTTCAAGATATCTCTTTACTCTCCTTCTCTGTCCTTCACCCAACTCACCCTTTCCCTCATGTTCTCCTCCCTACTCCAGTTTACTGAGGAGATCTTGTCCTACTTCCCCTTCCCAGGGATCCATGTGTGATGACACACACTTTAAATACCAAGCATCCATAACTAGAGTTCATCTGGATACACACCGCCTTCATTGTTGAGTCCTGCTTACTGGGTCAGATAAGACTTCATGATGTATAGCAAAACCTCCTGCCGTTAGTTTGCACAGAGGAAGCCCTCGTCACAGGGCAGTGGGTAACTCAGAACCACCTACAACCGAGCCTCCAGGCACAGTGCCCAGGCCACGTTGCAGAACTAACCTGAGGTCGATACCAGTATTCTCACTGCAGAGCCATGGACGTGGCTGCCAACGCAGAGCTGCACCTGCTCCTGTCACCAGCACCAACACGGGGTGTGCCTTCCTGTCCTCCTCACTGACAGGCGTTCCTCGTGGAGCCTGCTTCCTTATTTCCTACCCCCTCTGATGTCGGATTCCCCCCTGTATGCTCTGAATATGTCTTATTACCATTGGTTAATGAATAAAGCTGCTTCGGCCAGTGGCTTAGCAGAGCAAAGCCAGGCAGGAAATCTGAACAGAGATGTAGAGAAAGTAGGCAGAGTCAAAGAGACGCCATGTAGCTGCTGAAGGAGGATCTGCCAGACCTTTACTGGTAGACAACTGATGCGGGAGAATTGTCTGTATTCTGTCAATCATATTTTAATAAAACGCTGATTGGCCAGGCAGGCAGTATAGGCAGGAAAGCCAGACAGGAAGTAGGGGTGGAGCAAAGAGACTGGGAGTATTCTGGGAAAACAGGAAGCTCCCTCCGCCACTCCTGTGCAGACCACCGAAGAGGCAGCATGTAACTGGCCCAGCTGAAAAAGGTACCAAGCCATATGGCTAACATAGATCAGAATAATGGGTTAAGATAAGTCATAAAAACTAATAAGTAGCCTGACCTAATGGGCCAATCAGTTTATAACCTAATGTAGACTCTGTGTTATTTTCTTTGGGAGTTGCCGGCTGGGGGGTACTGGGGGGTACAGATACCCCAACAAGCCGGCTCCGTCATGTTACAGACAACAGCCTCAAGGTGATACACAGATTAATAGAAATGGGTTAATTCAAGATGTAAGAGTTAGCTATAAATATGCCTAAGCTATTGGCCAAACAGTGTTGTAATTAATATGGTTTCTGTGTGATTATTCGGTCTGGGTGGCCAGGAAATGAGCAAGCAGTCTCCTCCTACACCCCTCCCTCCCTCTTTTCCTCATTTCTTTGAGATGGGGTCTCAGGTAGCTCAGGCTCGCTCCAAACTCACTGTGTAATCAAAAATAGTCATGAACTCATAATTCTTCTGAAAGTGAGATCTAATAAATGCTTTGGACAGATCCCCTTGGCAGTTCTGATTCTCCTACCACCCCCCATTGGAATCCCAACCATCCCAATCTCAAAATGCTTAGCGGGTCTCCCTTGGGAGAGCCTCCGTGCCATTGCTTTTAATGTTCCGCCAAATCTAGATGACTAGTAACCATCACAAGAGATGGTTACTCGGTGGGTGGGTTATAGGCCACATAAACACGGGAGACCTTTGTTAGGATTCTCAAGGATATTCTCTTTGTTATATGGTTTCAGTGCTGTGGATGAAACCAAGGACCTTGCACATGATAGGCAAGTGTACTACCACTGAGCCACCCTCCCAACTTTCTAATCTGTTAATTAATCTATTAATTAATTAATCTGTTAATTAATTCTAATCTGTTAATCTGTTTTTTTTCCCTTTGTCACAGGCAGTTGTGAGCCACCTGGCCTGGGTTATAGGACCCAAACATGGGTCCTTTGCAACAGCAATACGTGCTTTTTAAGAACTGAGGTGTCTCTTCGGTCCCCACTTTACTTTTTGAGACAATATTTACGACTTTTTTTAAAATTATTTATTATGTATACAATATTCTGTGTGTGTCTGAAGGCCAGAAGAGGGGACCAGACCTCATTACAGATGGTTGTGAGCCACCATGTGGTTGCTGGGAATTGAACTCAGGACCCTTGGAAGAGCAGGCAATGCTCCAGCCCCAATATTTACAACTTAAGATAGAGTTCACTCAGGCATTCTCTAGAATCTGCTTCCACATCTCTGAGAGCACAAGCGCATTCTGCTGCACCCAGCTTTCTTCCCTGGGGTCTGGAGGGTAAAATTCAGGCCCTCCTGCTTTCATGACAAGCATTTTAGCAATTGAGCCACCTCCCTAGCTTTTCTAGGTGACTGGATGCTGAGGTTTTGTCATCTCTCAAAGTACTGGGTAGATTCTGTGCTTCAAGCCCGAGGCTGGAGCAGATCTATGTGGATGGGAAGTGTCTGCTTCGCTGCAGCATGGGGTGAGAGAAAGGCCAGCCAGCATCCCGTGACAGCCCAGCTGGGGCGCTGAACCCCTTCCAGAACAAAGTGTGCCACTGGCGATTCTGCCTGGCGTGACCAGAGGCTCCCAGGCCAACTTCTCCCGAGTCCTCAGATGCTCCTTTATTATCTAACCTCCCTTTCTGTACTCAGCAGAGTGTAATGTCTAACATCACCAACTTAACTGAAGCCAGGAGCGTCTGGGTGTGGCGGAGAGGAAGTTTCTAGAGAAGGTTCATGAGGGAGGAAGCCGCTCCTGAAGTGGGTAGCACTGTTCCCTGAGCTGGGCTTCTGGACTACATGGAAAGGAGATCGTGAGCTGAGCACTGTCGTTCATCTGTCTGCTTTCAGATAAGATGGAATGGACCAGTTGCCTCATGCTTCTGCCCCGTGCCTTCCCTATCACAGAAGCCTGTGTCTACTCAAACTGTGAGCCAGAGCAAATCCTTCTAATTGTATTGTGTCAGGACTTGGTACCAGCAATGGGAAAAGGTTGGCTTACATAGTGGTCCTTAATGTGAGGCTGGCCATAGACTCTCTATGGTCTCTTCTCCAGATCTCAATGGGTTGGCTTACATATCGGTCTTTAATGTGAGGCTCGCCATAGACTCTCTATAGTCTCTTCTCCAGATCTCAGTGGGTTGACTTACATATCGGTCTTTAATGTGAGTCTGGCCATAGGCTCTCTATGGTCTCTTCTCCAGATCTCAATGGGTTGACTTACATTTATCGGTCTTTAATTATGTGAGGCTGGCCATAGGCTCTCTATGGTCTCTTCTCCAGATCTGAATGGGTGGGGTTAGAGTGGGGGGGGTTATTTTAGCTACTGTTCTCTCTGTCATGACAGAGCCACTCGAGGAAAATTCTCTTTGTCGAAGTCATGGTCACAAAGCACCTGCTGTCAGGAAGCAGGGAAAGTGAATATGGATGCTCGGGTCCCCTTTTACTGTTCTATTTAGCCTAAGTCCTCAGCCCTAAAGCTGGTGCTGTCTACATTTAGAGTGAGCCTTCCCTCCTGGGTGAACACAGCCTAGAAACTCATGGATGTGCCCTGAGGTCTGTTTCCATGGTGATTGTAAATCCCATTAAGTTTGCAAACAGGGTTAAGCGGCATCGCTTTTAAAGCAGTTTTGGTGGCACACACTTGTCAGGCCAGCACATAAAAGGCTCAGGCGAGGAAATCGTGAGTTGGAGGCCAGCCTGGACTACAAAATGAGTTCTGGGGCAACCTGAGCTACTCAGAGAGTCTCCACCTCAAACCAACCAACCAAACAAACGAGCAACGAGCCCTACTGAAGGGTGTATTTACAGCTCTGTGTGACATATGAGATCACTTTTTACAGCTGCCACGTTCTGTAAGGCAGTTCTGGATGAGAAATGAGCTCTGGTTGGATTTCAGAAGCACAGGGGAAATAGGGTCGTAGCTGGACTGTGGAGGCGGGCCTCCTCTGTGGCCTTCAGACCCAGAGAAATGTGGTCTCTCTGGAAGGGGCTGGCTGCTGGAGTCTCTTCTTATTCCTCACACCTTGCTTGCATATGCCCTCTCCCCCCCCCCCCAGAGCTGGCCACTGTGCAAGGGCCCAGCGCTCCCTCCAGGCTGGCCTAGTTCTTCCGTGTCCTCCATCAAGCAGGGCTGGAAAAAGCGAGAGGGCAGGGTTTCTTGGAAAGCAATCTGGCCCGCATCAGCGTTAATGAGTAAAATGTGTCATCGTCCATTCAGAACTTAGAGTTCCAGCTTTCCTGTTCCAGTTCCTGAAATCTGGATCCTTTTCACTCCAGGGAATGTAACCTAGATACAGTTGCCCGGAACACTCTATAGGCTCCCTGAAATTATCTGTCTGTCTGTCTGTCTGTCTACCTATGTACCATCTCTAATCTCTTTTCTTGTTTCCTTCCCAAGTGATGAGATTATAGGTTGGCGCCATCACATCTAGCTTTCTTTCTTTCTTTTTTGTTTAAATTGTTGTTTTTGAGACAGGATCTCTCTGTGAAGATCTCTCAGGATTTTCCTGCTTCAGCCTCCTGAGTGCTGGGAATTATAGGAATGGACAACCTGCTCAAGAGCTATCCATCTGTCCATCTCTCTCTCTCTCTCTCTCTCTCTCTGTCTCTCTGTCTCTATCTATCTATCTATCTATCTATCTATCTATCTATCTATCTATCTATTTATCTATCTCTATCTTTCATCTATGCTGTTTATCAAATCTGTCATCTATATTATTTATCAACTCTATTATCTATCATATATCACCTTTCCATTTTTAATGTATCAGACATACATAAATCTTTTAAAGAAGAAGCAAATCAGCTTGTATATTATGCATAATTTTTATAAAAAAAAGTCAATATATTCTTTCTTTTGGGTTCTTTTTTCTTCTGAGACAGGGTTTCACTGTAGTTTGAAGTCTGTCCTGGAACTAGCTCTTGTAGACCAGACAGCCTCGAACTCACAGAGATCCAGCTGTATCTGCTTCCCTCCTGAGTGCTCGAATCAAAGGTTCCTTTTGAGGTTTTGAGACAGGGTTGCATTCAGTAGCTGAGAATAGCCCTGGAACTCACTGTGTGTGTGAACTCATTGCGGCATTCTTCCTTCTAGCCCCGGAGCTGGAACTGGAGAGAATCACATGACTCGGCGTTTTTCCTAATAGAGTTCAGTCAGTGGATTTTAGGTTTATATGAAAATGCACTGCAGGAACCTGGGGAAATGGCTCAGTGGTTACAGCGCTTGGTCTACAAGTACAAGCCTCTTAGTTCTCTCCTCAGAATCCACATGAATTCTGAGTGGATGTGGTGGCTTACCTGTAACTCTGGCCCCCAAAGGCAAAGACAGCAGATCCCCAGAGCATGCTGGTTAGCAAGACGTACTCTATTGGCGAGCTCTGGGCTTGATCTAGAGACCTTTCTTCAGTGAATAATGTGATAGAATAATCCAGGCTCATGCCTAACATTGCCTTGGGCCTCCATATGCACAGATGCACACACACCTACACGCGTGCTCCCTCACCTCACACATGCAAAAGCATGCATACACACATGCACATCAGACACATGCAAGAAAAACAAAAGAATAAAAAACCATCAAAATTGAATTCAAATAGTCAAAAACCCTGATCTTTCTGGAAGCACTAGTCTGTGAGGTGATCTGTGTCTGACACATTGAAGACATGATAAGCACACAAAATGGCTGTCAGGTGTGGTGGGGCAGGCTTGTAGCCCAGCACTTGGAAAGGTGAAGCCGGACTGTCAAGTGTCTAAGGCCAGCCCAGGCTATAGTGTGAATTCCAGGCCCACCTCCACTATAGGCCGTATGAGACACCTCTCTCTCTCTCTCTCTCTCTCTCTCTCTCTCTCTCTCTCACACACACACACACACACACACACATTCCCAATGGTTTATGAATATATTATTTTATATGGCAGCACTGCGGGCATCACTATCTCCATGGTCCCTGCCTCCGGGTTCCTGTGCTGCCCACAGTGGGCTTGACCCTCTTGCATCAGGTAACAGACAGTCCCCCAGCGACATAGCCATGGGCTAATCTGACTTAGCTAGTTTCTCAATTGAGGCTCTCCTATTGGATGACTGTAGACTGTGTCTCATAGACCACAGTACCTAAAAGAAATCATGTATTGGAGGAAAGTGCAAATTTGGGGCTTGCAATTCTAGGGTGCGTCATTCCATATCTATCTGTCTTCATGTGTTTGAGGAAGATGTCATGGTAGTGGAGGCATGTGAAGGAACTGTTCACATTCCAGCAGACCAGGATGTTGGCAGAGGTTTCTGTCATGCTCGGTTCCACAGCTATTCAGTCCCAACAAAACACACAGAGGTCTACATTAATCATAAATTGGTTGGCCTATTAGCTCAGGCTTCTGATTAACTCTTATGACTTACATTAGCCCATAATTCTTGTCTATACTTCCTGCCTGACTACTGGCCAATTAGCATTTTATTAAACAAGTAGCATTTTATTAAAGTATAAACAAATCTTTACAGGGTAAAACTATTGTCCCACAGCACCAGGAAGCAGAGAGAGAGAGAGAGAGAGAGAGAGAAAGAGAGAAGGGCAGGAGCCAAAACTGAGTCCTGTCTTCAGAGGCATACCTCTAAGGGACTGGAGAGTAGTGTAGCCAAGAGGGACCTGAATTTGATCCCCAGAACCCCTGTGTTAAAAAGCCATGCATTAAAAAAAAAAAGCCATGCATCCGCTAAAGAGATAGTTCAGAGTACCTGCTGCTATTCCAGAGGACCTGACAGTTTGGTTTCTAGCACCCATGTTAGGTGGCCCACAGCCTGTGTATTTAACTTCATGGTGATCTGACACCTCTGACCTGAGGGTAGCCTGCATGCACGCTCGCGCACGCGCGCGCGCGCGCGCGCACACACACACACACACACACACACACACAAATAAATCTTTAGCTGGATGTAGTGCATATACCTTTAGTGCCAGCATTTGGGAGGCTGAGGCAGGAAGATCAACATGAGTTCCGGGTCAAGCAGGGCTACAGAGTGAGATCTTATCTCTCTCTCTCTCTCTTTCAAAAAGAAAAAGAAAAGAAAAGGAAGGAAAGAGAGAAAGAGAAGAAATGTTACCTTTAGGTTGCACTTGTCAGATGGCGCCCTAGGAAATGAATAGCCCTTCTGTCAAGCCTCCAGTGACTTGACTCATGGCCAACTCGTCCAGGTTTGTGTTTATGTCCTGTGAGCTTCACGCCCACTTCCCTCCCCCATTCCACACTGACCATCAACCCAAGGCCTGGAGCAAGAGCACAGCAAATATTTGCAGGAGCTGAGCGAACTGGCAGGGGCATGTGGAGTTGCCGCGGAGGAGGCCACACCAGACCCAGAAGCCTGCCACCCTCCAAGGGGTCGGGAAATGATGCCGCGCTTCTGTCTCTGGAGTATTTACCCCGGGGGACCATCAGGGAGCAGTAGAGGGTGAAGAGGGACATGTTGGTCTCCGGCCCCTTCCTTTCCTACAAACTGGCCCCCGTCGTAGCCATGATGCAGCGTAGAAAGGCAAGCCTCACAGACGCCTGCTCCAGTGAGACACTGCACAGCTGCAGTCTATCCGTGGTTCTAGGCATAGATTTCTGCTCTAGTTACTCTCCCTTCCCTCTCCAACCTGGCACCGGATCTTGGTCACCTCACATCCTGAACACTGACCAGCTCTGCTTTCCTTGAATGGCCAGCGAGCATAGTAGGGCCGGGCAGGGAATCCACAGCAGTCGGACTAGAATATTTCCGTGGACTCAAAGTAGCTCTTAACTTGTTTGTCACAAAGGCCCCTGGTGACATGATACTGGAGACACTCAGCAGATTCTGCCTTCGCCGAGGATGCCTTCTCACCGGAGAGAGAGGAAATGGTCCAGAGTAAGAGAGACAAGATAATGATTCAGGAGATATATTATGTGACAATGTTGTTTGTTAGATAATAGAATCAAATTCATGCTAGATTTCTTATCTTTTTTTTTCAGATGTGGTTTTACTATGTAGCCCAGGCTAGTCCAAGACCCTTCAGCTTCAGCCTCTTTCCTGCTGGGTTTGCAAGCATGCACCAACATGCCCATTTTAAATTTCGTTCATTTTGTCATTATATATGAGAATGCACTGTGGCTGGAGAGATGGCTCGGCTGTTAAGAGCAAATACTGCTTCTCCAGAGGACGCAAGTTCAGTTCCCAGCACCCACAATGGGCAGCTACAACCATTTATGACTCCAGCTCCATAGATTCAACTATGTTTTATGGCCTCTGTGAGCACTACACTGGCATGGCATACAGACACACACTTGAAAATTAAAAAAATAAACATATAGATTAAAATGTTTTTAAAAGAGTGCTCTTATTGCTAGGTGACACTGATAATGTCTCTGGGGGAAAAGAACATAAGACTGTCTGAAGTTTACCCTTAAATGGATCAGTAGTGGTAATGATAATGAGGTCCGTCTGTCCATCTGTCATCTGTCAGTCATCTACCTGTCATCTGTCTCTCTAGCCATCCATCTATCACCTATCCATTTATCTGTCATCTGGAGGCTGCCATCAATGTATCTATCCATCTATCATCAGTCATCCATCTATGTTGGGGGAAGGGTCGCTTGTTCATCCTGGACACCCAGCCATGAAATAACCACTCAGAAAACCATATTATTTGCAATACTGTTTGACCAATAGCTTAAGTGTATTTCTGGCTAAGCTCACATCTTAACCTAACCCATCTCTATTTTTCTGTATATCACCACGTGGCTATGGCTTACCAGCTAGAGTTCTCAGCATCTGTCACAGGCAGTGGCTGCATGGCTTCTCCTAACTCTGCCTTCCTCCTCCCATGCTGTAGGCCAATCCAGTTTTCTTTATTCATTAACCAATAAAATCAACACATAGACAGAAGGACCTCCCACACCACATCTATCATTCATTGCCTATCTGCCTGTCAGCCATCTCTCTTCTATATTTAGCAAATATGATAATTGTTAACCCCTACTGCTCCAACAGCTTGTTTCCCACAAAAGAGCAAGCGCTGTGGAGTTAATTTCACATTGGTTACTGCTCACCATTTATTTTATTGCTTACTATGTTTTCTAAATAAAGATTTTGACTCTTCTTTTTCATTTTTGTTTTTCTGAAGCAAGGGCACACCATGTAGCCCAGGCTAGCCTTACACTCCTGATCCGCCTGCCTCTCACTGTGAATGTAAGCCCATGGCACCCAGTCTTTATTTTTTTAAGGATGTGTAAATGTGTATAAAATTTTGAACTTTCATGAAGCGCGTGAACCGAGTAACTGCACCCTAGTCGAGGGACAATCTCACTGCAGTCACAGTGCTGACCCGTGTCCCGTCTCACAGTGCTGACCCGTGTCCCCGTCTCACAGTGCTGACCTGTGTCCCCGTCTCACAGTGCTGACCTGTGTCCCGTCTCACTGCAGTCACAGCGCTGACCTGTGTCTCCGTCTCACAGTGCTGAACTGTTGTCTCCATCTCTGAAGGCTAATGCAGGAGAATCAAGAGCTCAAAAGTATCTTTGGTAATAAAGTAAGTTGGAGGCCATCCCGGGACACATGAAACTCTGTCTCAAAACAAAAGAAAACAAATTAAACAAAAGCAAAACTAAAATGAGCAAAGCCAGGTGTCTTAGCTCATCCCTATAATCCCAGCAATCAGGAAGCTGAGACAGGAGGTTTGCCACAAGTTACAGGGCTATATAGTGAAAACGAAACAAAACCAACCAACCAACCAAACAATCAAACAACCAAACAAAAAACTCCAAGTAAATCTAGAGGATGCTTGAACTTTTCAGCCTGAGGCTCTGTCCTAGGCTCATCCTGGTCTGCCTTCCCGTCCAGGCAGTAAGCATTTCCTGTCTGTGGGGTCTGCAGAGCATGTGATGGCGTCTCCTGGGGCGTAGGACATCCCATTGGCTGGTTCTAGCCTGGGCATGTGGCCCTCGTTCCCTGGCATGAGTTACTCGAAGTGGTATTTTTGGAAGGTGCAGCATCCTGCAGCCGTTTGGAAAATGCCTGCTCATAGGTTGGGCTGGCTCTTAAGATGCTGATGTGGCCGAAGGGCCTGACCTGGCCAGGGCTTGGGATTTAGAAGTGGGAAAAAGCGAGGAGGCATGCTCATTTTTCTCTTTTTCCTTGGAATTGTATTACCCGTTTTCTTTTTGCCTCCACTCAGCCTATGCCACAAGCTTTCAATGGATGGTGAGGGGTCTCCTGCTGCCGTCTGCCTTTTTGATGCTATCTGCAGGTAAGCAAGCGCTTTCTTGTCCCAAATTAGCCAAGGCTCTCGGATCCCTTTATGGGGTGCAAGTTTACCCCTCAGTTCGTACATCACAGCTCTCGGTTCTGATGCCCTCACCTAGAGTCTCCCTTCGTTTCCCTGTCAGGACCCCACCGCTCTCCCGTTTCTTCCCCGTGCTACAGAGCTGTCATTCATTCATTCCTTGCTCACCCATGCATCCACCCACCCCCATCCAAGCAGTGGCAGGTCGGAGTGGAAGGTTGGACAGACAACCATCTTTGCCACATCATTTCTCTGCCCTTCTCAGCCCTCTTTGTGGCCACAGTCCCCCTCATGGCCATGTCTGTGTGCACCTCTGAGGTACCTTCCCTCCCCCGAGGACCAGTTCCACGTGTAAGCCCTTTGCTGCAGCCTTCTTGTTCCTAGGTTCTCAGGGGCTCAGTTTTTCACTTCTGAGCTCCACACCTTCCCCCCTGCCCCACTATACATCCCTTTGCCAGCCCAGATCCTGGAACAATGATATAGCAGGAGCCCTGTCAGTTTTTAGGTTTGTTTTGTTTTCAGGACTAGGGATGGACCCAGGCATTGAGTGAGCTAGACAAGACCTGTACTGCTGAAGTTCCTCATTGAAGATTCTAGGCAGGGGCTCTACCACTGAGCCACACCCCAGCCCCTCACTGGGGGATTCTAGGC